AACCATAAAGCTGCAAGTAGACGGGAGTGAAACCATCGACGCCCTTAAACAAAAAATCCAAGATAAAGAAGGCATTCACCCTGACCAACAACGTCTTATTTTTGGAGGCGAACAATTGGAAGACGAACGCACTATAGCAGATTACTACATCAAAAACGAGTCCACCGTGCATCTTGTCCTCAAAATACGTGAACTAGTATCAGTACAGAATGGAGCAGCATCAACTATAACAAGGTCTTTACCAGGTCAAATCTATGTGAAAACACTTACCGGAAAAACCATAAAGCTGCAAGTAGACGGGAGTGAAACCATCGACGCCCTTAAACAAAAAATCCAAGATAAAGAAGGCATTCCCCCTGAACAACAACGTCTTATTTTTGGAAGCATGCAATTGGAAGACGGACGCACCATATCAGATTACTACATCCAAAACGAGTCCATCGTGCATCTTGTCCTCAGACTACGTGGTGGGATGTTTCAAGAAACCAGTGGCCGCAAAGAATTTGATGCATTGCCACCACTCACGCAATACATACAAACACCTGAAGAACGTACACAAGATGGAGTTCATGCTGGTATTGCTTGTGATTATTGTGGTAAAGGTGAATGGAAAGGAGCAAGGTTAATAACGATCGTAGTCGTAGTTTTCTTTTTTTATGAGCTGTGATATTCATCCATTTTGACTTGTTGCTTCAATTATGCTTACATGATTCCTCTCTCTTATTTTTTCCCTGCTCACAGATATAAATGTTCAGAATGCCCTGATTATGATCTGTGTTGCAATTGTATCACAATGTCCAACTTACTTCATAATGTTAAACATCGTTTTCTGAAAATTTTGAATCCCTTAGATCCAAAGGGTATTTCAGAAAATATCTCTGATGCCTCTGTTATTATCTCTCCAATACTCCCAACCACAAAAGAGGAGATGTTAGCCTTGCTACGTAAGGAAGAACAACAAAGATTATCACCTGAAATACAAAAACAATATTATAATGTTGGAAATGACCCCGCATTTGGCATGGACTGGATGGATGTCACTGACCAGATGCAGTATAAGTTAGTTCGAGAATCGGGTTACTCGGATGAGGCTGTCCAATTATTACGGCGTGCTCCACAGCTTTATCAAGGTGAGATGAGTGCATCCATTCTTCAACTCCTTTTTCTATCATTGTATGTGTTGTTGATGTCTTTTTTCGTCATTGTTCAGACGATCCTGCATTTCATACCACTCAATTATATGTTCGTAACAACATTGCTCGTATTGGAGATCTCACCGAAGGAATGCTAGCACCCAATTGTCTACTTGTTCCTCTAGAGTCTTCAGCACCTACAATAGAAATTAGCAACACTATTTCACCGACCACAATTTCCTTGCACTCACTTTGTCGACCAGGACGACCCCTCGTTCTTCTTGGTGGATCGTATACTTGTCCTCTATTTCGATACATATCTCATGTACTCAATGACATATATAAGCGATATCAAACACACATAGATTTCCACATGATTCAAATTCGAGAAGCACATGCTAGCGATGTTTGGCCTATTGGTAATATCGTAGATGTTAAGGAGCACCGTACGTTAGCCGATCGTTTAGCTGCTGCGCATGAAATGGTCAGAGCAACTCGGTTAGAGATCCCTGTGTTGGCAGACACTATGGATGACACTTTCCTAAAGTTGTACGCACCGTGGCCGTTTCGTTTTTTTGTCGTTGTAGATGGTATTTTGAAACTCGTTGGAATGCCAAAAGAAGCACGTTACGATACAACAGACTTAGTTGGGTGCTTAGATGCTCTTTTGGACGACAACAAAAGAAAAGAAAATTAGAAACTGATATATAAATACATATATGAATTACTTGTAAGAAATAGGTGTTCCTAGTTCTAAAAGGTATACAGTCAGGGCTCAACTTAACGACTATGCGATTTAAGGAAATCTCGAGTTAGCTACTCTTGTTTCCAAATCACTATATTAAAATTGGCACCTCCCGGTTTAGCATTTTAGAGATAACTTGGAATTTGATTCGGTAAATTGAACCCTGACTGTACCAGCATCAGAGAGCTATAGGTTACATAGTATATAAAATAATAGACGCAGTATCCGCTTTCTTATTGTCATTGTCATTTGACATTTGTATTTTATTTTATTTTATTTTATTTTATAGTTTATTTTATCTATTTGTTAGTTTGTTATTTTATCACTTTATAGGAATAAAACGATAAATCCAGAGATTAATATTAACGTTAACGTTAAGATCTTAATTAATTTGTATATCGATCGACGATTTTACCTGTAACAATAGGTTGGGGAGTGATTAGACTGCGGTGGTGTTCGTTTGTTTCTAATTCCTGTGCCGATATCTACGGATATCGTTCAGTATGACGGTAGAGAGGGAGTTTAGTTGGGTCGGTTTGTAGGTAAGATGTTTTTGGGTTTAAGTTTTTATGTGACGGGTTATTAACAATATTCTTATTAACTCCCAATCGTTGCTTTTCTAGCTAAAAGCCTTAAACTGTTTAATCACAAAGCTGCTTTTTCAATCAATCAATCAATATGCCGTTAACAATATCAACGCCTTTTCTGGACTAAAGGACCTAACCACAATCAATTACAACAATTTTACAAGTCTAATTTTTACTTGGAGAAGCATTGTACACAATTAATTCTATCTCTTTATTAACACTGCGAGGTCTATATATACATCTTTTTGGTTATATTGTTTCGGAACCTGTTGCATAATGCACTCTATTGTTTAAGCGAGAATTTAAGATTGAAAAAGAAATTGAAAACAAGAGCAAGATCAAAAGCGAAAATAAAAGCGAGATCAAAAGCGAATTTAGAATAGAAAACAAAAGCGAAATAAAAATAGAATTTCAAAGCGAAATTAAACCAACGAAATCGGGTTAGGCGGATTTACCAAAATCGAGAGATTAGCGAAATTATTCTTAACCCGGTAACAATGTAATAGCGATAGCGATAGTAAAATAAAACTACAGATGATGATGAAACTAAAGATAGTTCAGGTATATTATTTTTGGTGTACTGTGAATTTTAATGTAAAAAAATAAATTATAGTAACTATATTTTATTTATTAGAATTAGAAAAAGCTAAAATTATGAGAGAATTTGCTGGATAACATTCATGGGTTATTAATATGGAGTAAAAAATTTCAGCAATAATAATTTTTAATATGCAAATGTACATAAATTTTAGGATAACACCCAATGACAATATCAGTGATATTTGATTTCATATGTATATGCATATATGGCTTCATAAATTTGACATTTTTTTTTTGAGTATTTTTGCGGTCTTCATTAATGCATTACAATTACTAAAAGAGCCATTTGCTTTAATGTTTGTGATTGGGCAGGTTTATCAAGAATATCATTGTCATCAAATTGTTCATAAGTAAAGCTTGCCATGTGTTTTTGGATCATTCTCTTGTTAAAAGACAATATTATTCTTATTAATATTATACCACCTGATTGTTTCTAAAAGATCATTATTTAAAATTTCATGGTACAATTCCTTATCCATGTGATCATATATGCATAAAATAATGCCAAAGAATGAAAAGCAATTCCAAATCATTATATTTCCACCTCCGAATTTTACTATAAATGTAGATTTCACATAGTACGTTTTTAGTGGTTCATTATCATTTTTCTAGAAGTATTCATATTCATTCAAATTAAAAATCATAAATTTTGATTCGTCAAACCAAATAACTTTGTTCTAGTCATCAATTGTCAAGTATTGATGTGTTTTCTTAAATATGATTTCTTTGACTTAATTCATAAAAAATCATTGCAATATAAAGTTCATCTTATTGTGTCTGCATTGCTTTAATTTTGTCTTCATATTTCAGTTTTATTTTATGGAAGCTGCAATAGAACAATCATCATTCAAAATTAGACATTTTATTTTTATAAATCTTTAAAGATATCATCAGTATCTTTTTTTTTGGCTTTATTCTTATAACAATGAATTGGGAAATATTTTTGCAGTTTGCAATAAAGTGAGAGGAATATTCTTCTTTAAAAAGAGTATAAATTTGTAATCTTTTTTCGATGGGAATGTGTGTCATAATTGCTGCAAAACACTTGGCTGCCGTGACTGCTTTCCAACTTCAACACTGATTTCATCAGAAAAAATTATTTTCGCCCCATCATAAGCTGATTTATTTTTATTTTCTTCACACCATTTAAAACGAGCATGTGCATGTGTTTTCGAGATATAGGGTTTCTTTGCTGCGATACATAAGTTAAGTCCGGAGTTGTATAATACATTTGCAGCGATTGATAAACTACAAGTGAGGCCTGAATGGTTAATTATTTCGCGTAGTGGTGCACGTCTTTTTTCGTTGACTTCACGTATAAGTAAATCCTTTCTTGGTTGTTAACGTTAAAGACTGATGATCTTCCTAAACGTGGTAAGCTTTCACTTTTTCCTGTTTGTTATATTGTTAGTAAAGCGACGTATCATTGTGGGGTCGCGTCCAAGCATTTGAGTGGCATTTGTATGCCAGAATCTTCCTTTTTTCAATTTCGTTAAGCTGCGTATAGATGGACGTCATTTTTTAATCTTATGAAGCTATAGTGCTAACGAAGTTGTAACAGATAAACACAGTAATCATTTTTATTATCAAAAAAAGGAAGAAACTTGATAAATTGATTATTGAAAAATGGTTAAACATGTAAATTGGGCGATACTTTTTGTGGTATTGTTATACGTAGTTAAATACGTACATGGACAAAGAAGCATAAAATACAATGAAATATATCAGAAATGTATCAAAAATGATTTTATACAAATAAGCAGCTTGTCATAAATGACTTATTTTCTTGACCATATTATATAATACCCACAATTTACGTGTTATGTATCTGTAAAGAAAACACTCGGTACAGTAAAAATTTTATCTTAATTACGTATATTAAACGAATTTTCATTGTCATTATACGTGTTGTTCAGCGGATCTAACAATAAAAATTCTTTTTGGAAGAATTTCATTTACAAGCACATCATCCTACTTTATTTTCCATGTATAAATCATACTGTAGTCTATATAGTTATCACAAAGTGCAACTATAGCGCTAAATTATTATTTTAAAGGGAACAAAAACTTGCTTGAATCTAGACCTCTTTGAAAATATTAAATAAACAAATCAAACCAGAAATGCACGCGAGATTATAAATATCTTGTTTTTATTCTGTATATCGAAAAACTGAAGTGATTCAATTATAAATATTCCTAGAGAACATAATGAGTATCTTGAACTAAATTTATATGCTTTTATTTGACTTCTGCTGTTAATCGAAATTCTTCCTTTTCAATGCTGAATGCGCAGATTTTTTCTAGACCAATAAATACAGCACATGTCAGATGGAAGTGTTTCAAATTGTTTTGCGTTGTCAAAAATCATTCTCAACGGTACAGCTGAATCTGATTCTGTTTTATTGAAGATCAAATATGGTTTAACTTGCAATCAAACCACGATAAGGATTTTAAACGAAAAATTCAAAGACACTGTCAACAAAAATTGACTGAATAGGCGAAACAAAGCGATTATCAGAATCTTGCTAAGTATATTTTGTCGGATCGCTGGTTTCAGTCTACTCGGCAATCCCTAATATATACACGCTTTATGCAATCAAGCCCTAATATATACACGCTTTATGCAATCAAGCAATGGATGTGAGTACGTATCTATATGTTATATCATAAAATTATTACTAACAAAATTTGTTTTTATATATAGCTTACTGTGCCAACTATTTTCGCTCAAAAATTAAAGACTATTTATCAAGTCTATTAAAGTTAACATCTGGCGAATATGCCAAGTTATATATAATATACATATATCCACCTGATGGGTTAGTTTTATGTTATATATCCCATGAATACTGGTATCAATACCGACGAATATTGCTTACAGTAAAGTAACTGATAAATTACATATAAATGAATGTTATTAGATGTTCCAATTGTTAATCTCATATATGCTGATCTCAAACATGTAAGCAAAAATATAAAATATTCGAAAAAATATGAGTATTTATTTCACATACTTTAATTATATAAATATTATTGATAATTGAATAAATAAATTATAAAAAAAATAATCAATTCAAGAATCATGTTATAACATTATTCAATAGCAGGATCCAAGAGAATTTCAAGTAGTCTAATTAAACATTTGCAAAATGAATATGATACTTGTTGGCCCAGGGTTTGTTAGTTTAAAACAATAAAATTTAATAGTACATATTTACTGAATTTTGGTGAAATTTGGCCTGATGTTCATGGGATATTATGCTTCAAATTAAGTGTTCAAATTAAAATAAGTTTGTTTCAAGAAAAAATCAGCAACTTTGTAACATGATATCTTAAGAATTACCAGACCATTTTGTAAAATTACTATGTACAATTGAATTCACCAAAACTAGGAGAATTTAATGATAGTGTGTTTGGAATAATGAATTCATTTTAATTTGAGCAAAAAATTGATCAATAACTTTGGGATGCGTGATTCACAAGCTCAAGATGAATGTAAATACCACCATTCGACTTACCAAGACAAGACGGAATGAAATATTTTTTGTCTGGCTTGAAAGTGTAGATCATGGGATATCATTTTACATGTAATCAAAAAAATTTCATCAGATTTTAATACAGAAATTTTATACTAAACCTGTGGTTTCCAGAACTAAAAAAAACCGAATTTTTGCTTGAATATTTTTTTTTACTGAGTTAAAGAATGAAAAATTTAATCAAATAAAGTTAGTTTATCTTGACGAATATTGATCTTTGAAAGTCTTATGAGTCATGTCACAGACTTGCAATAATGAATAATATAGAATTATAATGGCTGAAGCTTGTGCATTTTCAGGAAATATGAATTTTTTGAAGAAGATTATTATAATATTAATTTAATAAAAAATAAAATATATAATATATAATTAATGTCAAAAGAATTCATGAACGAAATATATAAAGAGCTATAGAGAGCGTTCAAAATTATGCGAACACTATAAGTGAATATATGTTAAATACTAAAGATAATAGACTGAGATAACAAGACTAAAGTTTGGTAACAGTTATATTTTTAAATACAATCTGGACAGCTAGAAAGTGTCCTCAAAATCTCAATTATAATATAATATACGTATTATACAAAATACGTTTTCAAAGGTTAATTTATATAAATATAATTTCCTTTATTCAAATATGAAATAACCTTATTCCATAAATTAGAATTTTATTTTATTGACCATAATCTATTAATAGATTAATACATACCAGTACGTACTTTTTTCGATCACCATGAATTCGATAGGTATAGATAAATAGTCACTTTTTGATGTGATATCTTGGTATCCAGAGATCAAATACCATCATTCGACCTATTTGGATAAGCCGAATCAAATGGTGATATTTGTGATCAAAATGTTCACTGAATACTAAGCTGAAAATGATTATCTTTGAAAAAAAATAATACAGTTACTTCAAGATACTATGTCCAAAAGTGCCCATTTTATTTTATAAAAATTTAACACCTGATCGAATTCATGCTGTTATAATGATCGAACAAAGTATTAATTTATTAATAGATTATGTAAAAAAAGGTCGATAAAATAAAATTATAATTTAGGTAATAAATACTTTTTTTAATGAGAAGATTTTTTTAATCTTAGTCAATGAATCCAAAGAATTAAGCAAAGAAATGTTTGATACTTTCGGAGAATCGAGAGCTCAATACAGTGATGATTTTTTTAATTCGTATTATAATTTATAATTTCAATTATGGTACGAAATTGTTGGAGAAATACTGTACATGAGTTATGAACCGGCGATTGCCGTTACTGTTTAATTTTATTTGAAATTGAAGGCAGTCGTGTTAGGCACTTATGTGAATTATTGAAAGAGGAATTCGCAGATATGTTTCATAGAATGGTGGTGAAATTATTGATAATTGTAGGAACCACTCGATGAAGATTTTATTTTTAAGTGATTAAATAAGTGGTCGGTAAATGATACTGTGCTTTTAGAAAAATTTATATTATTATATGCTAAAAACGTCTAACTTCATAACAAGTGTTTTTATATAAGACATAAAAACAAACAAGAAATAATACAATCTTTTATGTTTATATAGCAATCAATGATTACGCGCATTATTTTATATTTTTCTCATCTACATGTAGTTGTTGACATCGATCGCACGTGCATGTAAACCCAAATACATTAGCAAACTGAGATTGTCTGTCGCCATCGTCATCGCCATCGCCATCATCAATATACGAAATGGTCACTGGTTCTCCTTTCTCAATTTCACGAGCGGCCGTCAATTCATGATCAATTATAAAAGCATTCGGACTACAATCATGATTAACGAGAGACATGAGGGAATAACACGATGCACAATCGGGGCGGCCTTGGTCATCTGTTGCCGCAAATACATTACAACGTGTCATATGGATGCATTCAAGGTACATCCAAAAATCAAACCGTACATCAAATGGAGAAATTTCCAGGATCCCGAGTGTGTACGTGTACATAGAAGTCCATATATGTTGATAAATTAATTTGCCATGAATGGGTCTGTAGCGCACTAAATGTTTCAGTTCATCGATATCCAATGGAGATATTCCGCGAATTTTAGCGATAGCAAATATCTTCAAAAAGAATAAAAAATTCAATGAACCTGTGGACCTTTCATTTTGTGTTATTTCTAGTATGGGTGTTATGTCTTTTCCGCACAATGGCTTGTGAAATTCATTAGATGCCAATTGCCAACACTCAATATCACAATAGACTTCTTTGCACCCAGTTTCAGGGCATTCATAAAATACCATGGTGTTGTCTTTCGGATCAGCCAATGGCAAATTACAATAATCACAACGAGAAACGAATCGATTGTGAACGTTTAGAAAAGCTGTTTCTTCCATTATTATGCATTCCGCGGAAATAGCTTGTAATGCTTCAATGCCATACTGAATTTTCTTTGGAGAAGATGTTGTTGAATTAGATGATTTCCCGAATTCCACTCGAGTCAATGAAATTTTCATATCCGAAAGAGTCTCAATCTGTATTTTTAAATTTTCAAATAGTTCTTCCGAATCACGATTTTCTTGACTACGGTCCCACGGATATCCGTTCTTGTATTTCATCACACCATGATAAAAATTGACGCATTCCGGATTCTTTTTGGTAAACTCTGCATGTTTTTTTTCACAATGACTACGAAGTTGAAGACAATCAATATTGCTGATAGAGATCGAATACTTTTCGATATTTTTCTGCATAGTCAAGAAATTGTTGCATGATTCTATCGCTCTATACCATATCTCCAATTTCGAATACGCAACAGCTTGCCGATAAAAAGCTTTAAACAACATCTGAACAATTTTTTCCATATTTGCTGAATCATTTTCTTTTTCGTGACTATCTTTACAATTTTTATTCTGCGATGAAGTGCACGATAACTTTTCTTTACCAATTTCAACCAAATTTTCAGTACCCCACGAATCCTTCGAAAATGATACGATTTTAAATTCTTCTTTTCCACTTGATTTTGTTTCATCACCGGCCAGCATCGTGATCACTTCGCTCATTTTTTTTTCAAGCAATACAATAGCTCGCAATGCATCCACCAGTGCTAGTTCAGGATACCCTTCTTTTAAAAATGCCAATGAGCGATTACACCATAGCGCCGGGTCTTTGGGTGTTTCTAGGAGACCTTTGGTGTATTCATCGCGTGCAGTTTTATAGTCACCCTTTTTTATTGCATTGTTTCCTTTAAGACGTTTTTCCATTATTAAAATTCAGTATCGAGAATTAAGAGAGGAGAGGCTTTAGCTAAAGATATACATCATGAAATGTTTTATAACTCGCACAGTATGTTAATGGAATAAAAAGTTACATTCAACATTTTATTCCATTATTTAGCTTATTATAAAAAGATTAATGAATCTTTGATGATTCAATAAAATATACATGAACGATTTTATACAGCGATCGATCATACGTGTATGATAAATTTCCATTTTGGTATGTAACATGCAAATCCAAGAAACAATTACACAATTTATATATTTCTGATATACGACAAACTAACATTTGAATATCACATCATCCCCAAATCACATCACTATATCGAGCGCCCACACCACACCTTATCAAGAAAAGAAAATGAGGTTATTGTTTGAAATAATTCTAATAAAATTTTTACTGCATACTAATTGATATATAAATTGAAATGAATACAACAATTATTTTTAGGTGGCTTTATTCAGAGTGAATCGTATTTCTTAAAATTACGTCAAATGCTGGAAACTATCGTACTAACTGTTCGTTTGAATTAATTATTTTCTTAAACACAGAAATATGATTGAGCATAAAAACAAACTTCATTGGTCAAGTTCCATGGACACTCACAAGACGACATAGAAACGATTAGAAAAGTTAATGCACATGGCATTATAAAAAAGAGCAAACGCGAATTTGATTGATAACAAGGTGAACGTTGATGTTATTATATTATAATACGACAAGACATATGACAGGTGAGATAAAAAATGCTGAGATATCAATAATAAATACAGTCAACTTTCCCTAAATGAACCTCCATAAATGCAATTGATCACAGTCCCATGTGATTTATAAATAAGTACAGTGGAAGCTCGTCAATAGCATTTATCAAATTGGTTTATCATGTACAGTGAGAGAGCTCTTTACAGTATCGTGATCGGGGGAAGGATTTTGATATTGAGATGGTACTCTATCGAATGAATATTAGTATTAAAAATACTTAACTATATATGTTATGCCAATTTGATGTATGGTGCATAACATCTAAGGCATCATATGTTTGTATTTTATAAAATGTATAAATTTTTTAACTAAGTAAATTCAAAATTTAATCTGTTTTTGATTATGTTTCATGGATTAAATTTTGTATTTACTTCTTAGTTGAGAAGTTTATAAATGTTTGATGGCTTAGATATTATGCATCATATATCAAGTATGTTATTGTAAATACTAATATTCATTCAATAGAGTAACATCTCGATATAATAACAAAAATTTCTTTCTCCTGGTCATGTTACTGTAAAGAGCTCTCTTAGTGTACATATTATTTCTTGACTCATTTATGATATACATTTATATTAATATGTATTAGTATTATTATAGGCTTGCTCACTTATTGGAAAATTAGCTAACATGAAGAAGAATTAAAAGAAAAAATTAAAGAATAAGACAAATTAATAAAAGAAATAATGTATTTAAGTCCTATACCAAATTTTTACTGTTCAAAGTAAAGATAAAAAGTATAAAAAAGATATAAAAGAGTAAGCTTAATGAAATATTGTAATAAATAAAAAGATATATTAAAATAAATAATATATAATATATATGGAATTAATGCACTTTTTATAATAATACTAATTCTGGAACAGATATATAGCAATTCTATACTGAATTTTTTATAAAATAATCTTTTTATTATATATTTAGACAGAAAAATAAATGTGTTACTTGATCATTTTTTTTATATTAATTATTGATAAATTTTATTTTATGATAATATTTAATATCAAAAAATATATCAACTAAAAATATTTTTTTATTTAAACAAAATATAATATATATTAATTTAACAATTAAAAATATTTATTCATTAATTTATTATTAACAAAAAAATATTCTATATTTAAGAAAAAATAATAAAATATATAAATATGCTATATTATTTATAAAGAATTAATTAATATAATAATTGCACTTAAGATTTCTAGAATATATATATTATATATATATATATAAATTATATATAAAATATAGAATAAAACTTTTAATCTTTTATATATATAATTTATAGATTATATTTATAGATATACAGTCAACTCTCTATATATGCACGTCTCTTGGGAATGAACCAGAGTGTGCATATATGGAGGATGTGCATATATTGAGAGTCAACATTTTATTGGTTGCACATGATATATATAGTTTTATTCAAAGAACTCTAGCCTCATTTATCACAAGTTAAATTTTGGAAGAGAAAAGGAAAAGTTTAATTTATTTATAAATTAATAATAATAATAAAGACAAATTAAAAATACTCATTTAGTTTTCTCTATTATTATTGATTAAAAAAATTGTCTATAGTTGTTTGTTTCTTTGCATTTATCGACTTTAAACCAATGTAATAATCAAGAGTATTAACATGTTTAAACAACTCCTTAGAATCTTCTTGCTGTTGCAAAAAGGAACGAACTAATTTATAGCTTCGTTGGCATTGATCATTGGCAATTCAATACTATCATCAATTTCAATATCATTAATATTATTATCATAGTAACATAAATTTCTCTAATTCATTAATCTTTCATTGATTATACGAAATTCTCTTTTTCTTAATTTTATAATTTATCACTTGATTATTATTATTTTTATTCAATCGTATAATTATCTCACTTTTATTTTATTACTCTAAATCTTATATTTATACCTTAAATATCATATTTATTCTCTTTTGCTTATTTCTATATATTTTTATTACCCTAAATCTGAGATTTACAATTTCGATCACAAATGTTCTACATTAATATTAAC